TGTCAGTCATTTTCGTGAATATTTAAATAGCCCTTATTATAAGAATTGTAATTACTAACGCGCGTTTACACTAGCGTTTGTGAATCTTGAACGCATAAATATGCTACTAGGCTATGTATATATCGCTTACTAAATAGTACAGTGGCACAACTCAAAAACCATTATTTCGAGAAAACGCCACAATATTGTGGTGGCATCCCATAGATAATTTAAAGAAAAAATAAAAAACTTAACAGTAATAATATAATACAAACGCTTTAACTGTTATGCTAAAAAATTGTTTTTCATAATTAAAAATATATTAAATTTTCATAACTTCGGAGAGCGTTTCTCGAAATTATGGTTTTTGAGTTGTGCCACTGTACTATTCAGTGAGCGATATGTTAATATGCTATTAGGTTAGAACCACAGATCATTTTTTTCTTTTTATATAGATAGAACAGTCGCCCGAATTGTAAAATGAGACGTTATATTATTTTCCTATAAAATAAATATAAAAATCACTCAAAATATAAAAATCTTAAACCGGTCTCTTTTATAAGAATTATTTATGCTTATCAATGTTATAAATACTTAATAATTTGGTTAATTTTAGTATTATAAATGGCTCCATTTTACTAAATGAATGTGGTTGAAACGCACCGGTTAAAAAACGCCAGTGTGAACACGCGTCAACGCTTACTACTAAACCGTAGCGTAGAGGTATATCGAGTTAAAAGTCCCTACAAAAGATTATCCGTATTCGGGGTGTTGACTCTTCATGTGCCCTTTCAAACTGCAATTCTGTATGAACGCCTGCCCGCATATATGACACCTGTTGATTGGAAAATAATCCTATTAATATTATATAATCAGTGAAAGTTTCTTTGTATGGATGTTTGTCCGTCAATCACAACGAAACTACTGAACAGATTTTGATGAAATTATCTCACTAAACATTTCCCTAGGCGAAAGCTAGTAATGAAATAAGTATGTCGCGTTAATATCCAAAATAATATCACTCATTCACATGGTGGGAGTTACGACCATGTCTAATCATATTTTGAGTACATATGTTGACACATATGTGTGTGTGTGTGTGTGTGTGTGTGTGTGTGTGTGTGTGTGTGTGTGTGTGTGTGTGTGTGTGTGTGTGTATGTGTGTTTGTGTGTGTGTATGTGTGTTTGTGTGTGTGTATGTGTGTTTGTGTGTGTGTTTATGTTTGTGTGTGGGTGTTAATGACTTTGCTATTAGACTTGTGACACTCACCTGTATCTTCTATCGTTAGTGTGTATTCTCATGTGATCTTTGAGCGTCTTCAGTCTGGGGTAAGATTTCTCGCACACTTTGCATTTGAAATTCCTCTCGCCGGTGTGGGTCGGCATGTGATTGTTTAACGCGAACCGAGTGAAGAATTTCTGACCGCAACACTGGCATTCATACCTGTAAAAATTAAACATATTAATTGCTTGCTAAGTCCCGCGACTAGGTCCGCGTATGTAGTATGTGATGTGTGACAGAATGTATCATTATTTTCAAAGATTACCCCATGTAAACAAACAAGTCCGTCCGTCCGAAACTTAATCTCGCACTCCCGGTGCGACACTGTCACTTATGCAAAAATTTAGTTTTTCAGGAGAAGAGTTTTAAACTCTGCCACCTCACAAAACAATGACTTTAGAAGATACAGATGAGATGAATCATACGGAACATAGTTCTGTATGATTCATCTACAAAAGTAACATTATCGCACCAAGTGAAGGGGGCTTTAGGACAATTATTACATATTTAACTAATTTTTGAATTTTTTGCAAATGTGACAGTGTCGCACCGGGGGTGCGCTGTTTATAATATTAATTGTCAATTGTAGTTCATTTAAGTACGGTATCACCAAGTAATCGTAAGAACTGATCGAATCAGGTAATCGCAAAAAGTGATCCGTCCATGAAAATCTTTCACATACGGGAAGCTTCTTCTTTTATTAATGGCTTATCTGCGCGTTTCGCACAATAGGCTTGTGTCCTACAAGTGAAAATACAGGTTTTTGTTATATCTTCGAAAAATATGAACCATTTTAACTTATAATTGTTTAACAAAACAAATTTTAAGTCACTGATTTGGAAAATTTTACGCTTTGAAAACTTGAAAAAAGTAGAAAAAATCTACTACAAAAATTTGCTAAAATACATTAGGCATTAAATTAGATATAAAAAATGTTACAATTTTCATTATAACAACTATAAACATAAACGCACAAATAATAAAGATATTACAAAAAATGTCCAGACGCCCATACATTTTTCGCTACAGTACCACCATGTGACGTCACTTAGTGCCTTGAATTTGTAGGGAGCGTTTTCGGCCAACTAGCAGCAGTTCTACAAACACAGCACCGTATCTCCGAAACTATTAATCGCAGACATGCTGTTACTTCAACAGTATTTCTCAGGTGTTAATGGACTATTTATTTATGAAATAAAAAAAAAGTTGGCAACTAGCCTATTCCGCCAAATTCACGTGAAAAGCTATTACACGGTACTTCTTCTTCTCAACTTTAATGGCACTTTGCGTCACCACATTACTGCCAACTTCACGTAGGAGACCATTACACGATTTAAATACATTCATTCAACAAAACAATTTTGAATTACCAATTCTATCTTTCTACATAGATTTACCAAAAACAACTTAATACGTTAACACGATTTTAATACGTTAATTAAGAAATAATTTTATATAAACAATGATTTAAACCACTATTAAATTAATTAATTGTGTTAATAAAAAAAATGTGAGCGAAAGATAACACCACTGATGTATGTTAAAGTTTTAATTGATTAATACTGAAAAATTTACTTAGAGATTTAACTACAGAAGCATCACAAATTGACTGAAGAACAAACTTGCTATTAAGAGGGCGAGGAATATTGGAGGGTAAAATATCATAAAGGGAACAAGAAATACTTGGGCAATTGAAAAATATGTGGGGATGCATCATACGCGAGTGACATATATGTGACATATAAAAGACGTATGTAGCTTGTTTGGTTTGATTTATTATTGTTGTTAGTTGTTACCATAGACAGTAGCGACGGACGTTATTCGCGATAGACAGTTATTCAACTAGTGATCTGCCTGCGATCACTAGTTATTCAGTTATACAATAACTATCTATTTTCCATAACGTTCTAAAATTAAACCAAATTCACTCGTATGTCAACAGCATAACGTCAATCTTTGATTTTACGCTCACCAAGAACTAGCGATCATAGATTTACAATAACTGTCTATTATCCATAACGTGCTAAGGTTAGACCGAATTCACTCATATGTAAACGACATTACGTTGATTGTTGGTTGCCTCGCTTCAAGGTAGCATCGATCACCAAGAAGCAGCGATCACACTATTGAAAAACGTTAATATCTGTTAAGAGACAATCGCTTTACATTGACCGTCAGGTAATACAATTTTTAATAATAGTATAGAAACGGGTAATGCAAAGCGTCTTAACAAAATGGATTGCATTCATAGCAGTGCATGTGCGAATGAAACAAAAGAATTTTAGCTTACGTGTGAATGAAATAGTTATATGTTCGTAAGCATATTTCGACTCGCAGAGAACGCGCTAGATTGTAAAATAAAGCTGACTAACTTTGTGTCTTATTTTGAAAGACAGATTGACTTATATTAGGTTTTATTTTAGAATAATTTTGAGTCCGACTTGATCCGATTTAATTAATAATAACAAAGTCAAAGTCAAAGTCACAGTCAAAATAATCTTTATTCAAATAGACTCAACAAAAAATGAAATTGGGTCACTGTCAATGCGTCATTGCAATTTTAATTGCTTTCGCTCATATACGTTAGTACGTATCATTTACTTTCGTGATTCGGTATTTTAATAGAACGATCCTATTTTAGATTTGAATTGAATATTAATTTTAGTAAGGTGTAAATATTTCTTTTTGTTTGACTTTTAATTTGTAAGTGTGTATAGTTACTTATAAGTTTGAATAATGTCCCGTGTAAATAGTAGTATTTTGTGGGAACATTTTGAAAAAACGAAATCGATAAATAAAAGAGCCAAGTGTTTCATTTGTGGCACTTTAATGAGTTACAAAACTACCACAGGTAATATAAAAAACCGGCTCATAGAAATTGATAAGCTCGGAGAGGAATCTCGCGTCGCTGCCGCCAACACCAGGTGTCGAAACCATTGGCTCGCCGCCCCCGCCTGACCAAGTGATAACTTCTGGCTCCAGTCAACAACGCATTTCAGACTCGCACAATGTATGTAAACAAGCACGGCTAGAAACTTTCATCCTAAAAAAAATTAGGACCAGAAAGCGAAGATTGATAATGATCTTCTTTCGCTATTTGCTAAGGGGTTGCCTTTTAGTATAGTGGAAGAAGATTAATTCAAAAGATTTGCAGGATGGATAACGGGCTACCAACTTCCGTCTCGCAAGACTGTTTCATCGGTTTTGGTGCCAAGGCTGTATAAAAAGAAAAGAGAAGAGGTAATGGCTCGTCTTTCGGATGCAGCTATAGAAAAGATTTGTCTTACAGTTGATCTGTGGACTTCACGCGCAAACGAGAGTTATATAGCTATCACAGGACACTATATTGACATCGAATTTCAAATGCAATCTGCTCCCTTATCCTGCGAACATTATCCTGAGCGCCACACCAGTGATAATATAAGGGCGTTCCTAATGAACACTGCCCGAGAGTGGAACATCAGTGACAAAATAAATTTTGTCATTAGCGACAATGCTGCTAACTAACGTTCAAAAAGCATTGCAAGATTTAGGATGGAAGCACTTCGGCTGTTATGGGCACACATTAAATTTTTACCCTTAAGTTACCCTTGAAAAAGTAGAAACTAATGTACGATTTTTCATAAAAAGCCCTTAAGCAACGGAGAGGCTATTGAAATATCAAAACAATGAAAACGAGGCAGCTATTCCATTAAAATTAAAACAAGATGTGCCGACGCGATGGAATTCCACGTTTCACATGATCGCTCGATTCGTGGAATTAGAAGCAGCATTCAAAGCAACAGCAGCAGTATTGGGTAAAGATTTGCCCATACTGACCTTAGAAGAGTGGGCACTTCTTCAACAACTTTTATTGGTTTTAAAACCGTTTGATGACGTTGTGGCAGCCATGAGTGCTGTAAAATATGTCACTGGAGGCTCTGTTATAGCATTAACTCGATGCTTGATAAAAATATGTGAAAAGTTGTTGGCAGATCATTTATCACCACTATCTGAAGAAAGCCTAGTCAGTCCTGCGGCCACTGTTGCTGTAACTATAGATGGCCTAATCACAAGATTGGGTAATGTAGAAAAAAGTGGTACATTTTCAGTTTGTACATTTCTAGACCCTCGTTATAAATTATCGGGCTTTGGAGATAAACAGGAAGCAGGACGGGCGAAGAAACGGGTGCAGGATATGGTACAAACTTTAATTGCCGAAAAATTTCCCAGTCACCAACCACCACATCCTATCACCTGTGAGCCGTTACCGTCAACGTCTAAAGGAGTTTCTCCGTGGAGTATTCTCTCCGAAATAGTAGCTTCTGACCGGCCTCAACAAAGAATTGGAACTGCTCTGTGTAAAGCTATACATGAAGTTGATTTATATTTAGAGAACGACATGCTAGAGGTACATAAGCCAGATGGTAGTTGGAATTGCCCCCTAGACTGGTGACCACCAGAAGTATCCACATTTGAGCAAATTATTTCGTCATTACGTAAATAATGTGGCAACGTCTGTTCCATGTGAGAGAATCTTTAGTAAAGTCGGGCAGTTATATAAAGTTGGAAATACATAAACTAACTGTCTGCGCCGTTTATTATAAATATATATATATATATATATATATATATATATTATTAATATTACATTACTCGCATCACAACATACAATATAAAAACTATACAAATGACTCAAACGGTAGATAATAAAATAATAAAAATTCCACCCGCCCAATATATAAAAAAAAAGAAGACCCTCTCTCTGTCATGGTGTCAACGCAAAAAAAATACGTGAAAATACGCTCCTCTCGAAAAATAAACCGCTGTGTTAATATCTCACTAAAAATAAACTGTGCTCAAAACAGTGTTGAGTGTGTGAAGTATTTTTTTTTATATAATAATAAGAATTCAAGAAAAAGGAGTACGACCGAAACCTATGGAAAATAACTATGTAAGTCCACTAATTTTCAAAATTTCAATCATTGGAAATCTTCCACATAACCTAATAAGGTGTTGAAAATATTTAATTTGTATTTATTTATTTATTTAACAAACTTTATTGTACATTAAATTGGTACAAGAGGCGGACTTAATGCTATTAGCATTCTCTACCAGTCAACCTTTGGGATACAGAAATACACGATGGCGGCATAAAGTTAACTTATAAATATACTACTTACAAATATACTACTTAAACTACACTTTAGAAGAATTTATATACAATTATATAAACATAAATAAATATTATACTACACATAAACATAAGTACATATACAAATACATAAATATAATACATATATGATGATGATCCTCATAAACGTTCCAGGAGAAAGGTGTGAGCTTTCCGTTTAAAGACGAATTTGTCGGGAGATTGTCTGATTGTGTCGGGGAGGCCATTCCACAGTCGTATGGCTTGCAGGGTGAAAGAGTCGGCCATAAAGCCAGAATGGAAAAGTGGAGTAGATAATGCAAGTGTATTAGCAGAACGCAGTTGTCTGTCATGAGAATCACAAAGGTATTGAAATTTACATTTAAGGTAATTTGGAGAATTAGGGTTAGAAAGTATGGAAAAGAGCATACAGAGTAGTCGTAGCTGTCTGCGCTGACGAATGGGAAGCCATTTTAGTTGAGACCGATAAGACGAAACATGATCATACTTGCGAAGGCAGAAAATAAAACGGATTGCATTGTTGACAAGGCGGTCCAACTTATTGAGAAGATCTTCATTTAAATCAGGGTAACAGACATCACCATAGTCAATGATAGGAAGAATAAGGGAAGTGACGAGCGTGACCTTAGTTTTGATAGGAAGGAAATATCTGAAGCGATTAAGCGAGCGCAAAGAATAAGTAACCACACGACTGACCTCGGCAACCTGTGATGTCCATTTGAGCTCCGAATCAATATGAAGTCCAAGGTTTTTAACTGTAGAGCTGAAGGGTATTACAGAATTTACGTACACAACAGGTGGGAGCAGACCAGAATCAAGTTTAATAAGCTGTTTGGAGCTTCCAACAATAATTGCTTGGCATTTTGTAGGGTTCACCGAAATACCAAACTTAGTTGACCATGCACTGACATGAGAGAGATCCTTATTCAATTTGGAAATACCAGTTATAATTTCATCGGTCGTTGTTTGCACATATATTTGCAAATCATCTGCGTAGAAATGATAAGAGCAGCCGAGCGTGAAAGAGAGATGATTAATGAATATGGAAAAAAGTAGAGGAGAAAGAATTCCCCCCTGTGGGACACCAGCTGTCAGATCGTTCCAGGAAGACAATTCACGATCCTTACGTACTGCCTGCTGACGCCCACGAAGATAAGCTGAGAACCATTCCAATGTCAAGGACGAAAGATTAAGGGACTTCAGTACGGCCAGTAGAAGGTCATGGTCGACCATATTAAACGCGTTAGAGAAGTCAATGAGAACAATGATGGTGACCAGTTGTTTCTCCATGCCAGTTCTGACGTCCTCGGTAACTTTCAAGAGAGCAGTTGTAGTGCTGTGACCAACACGAAAACCAGATTGGAAAGGAGAGAGGATGGATACAGAGTGTATAAAGGAAGATAATTGCTCATGAGCAGCGGCTTCTAAGATCTTGGACAAGAAAGGAAGGATAGATATAGGCCTAAAGTTACTTAACAGTGTTGGAAATGAGGTTTTGGGAAGAGGGATGACATAAGCTTTACGCCAAAGTAGAGGAAAGTGAGCCACTTGGAAAGAGAAATTAACAATATGTGTTATAACATGAAGGACAATATCTAAAATGTTGATAATCATGTCTCTGCTCACATCATCACATCCTATGGCCTTTGACTTGATTGAGACTATGATTTTCCGTATAGCTTCAGTTGACATTGGAGAAAAGGAAAAAGAATTAGAATGAGATTGGGCCTTGGAAGTAATTTCATTGATAGTGTTAGATTTGGTGAAAGAATCCATAGTGGAAATAGAAGAAAAATGATTATTAAAATCATTAAGAGAAAAGGGGTAAATCTGAGGTTGCGAAGAAGATTTACCCAAGTCTAAGGAGCGAAGAAACTTCCATATATTAGCTGGAGAAGAATTTATATATTAATTAATTATTTTTGTATGTTTGTATATATGCCTATTGTCAATTTGTATATATGTAAGTTTATATAATAATGAACTTGTACATAAGTGAAATCGATATACATATCATGAACTTTTAAGTACGCCTGTATTGCAGCTACTATAATACATACTCTGTACCTAATTCGTTTTGACTTATAAACATTTTACAGATCTCGCAATACAGCCAGTCCAAAGCCTGGTAAACTACGAAGGAAAGTTCCGTAAAAACGTTAACATTATATTACAAAACTAACTTCAGCCAGCGGCTTTGCCCGCGTGGCTTACACGATGACTTGACAATACATGTATCTCTAGAAAACCGTTTAGTGTGATAAAAAACGTATGTAGTGTACCTACATACAAAATTAGTGTGTATGTGATATGAAAATAGGTATTAGTTAAAACTTTATAAAGATTTTATACATTTAACTAAATATAATATGTAAAAACCTCAATAACTTAAAATATATAATCTTATCTTATGAATATATAGACATTTAATTTAATTTAAGATATAATTTAAATTGCAAAATTTCTGAATTACACATGGACAAACGCATCACGTTTGTTATTAAATAATTTCAGCGCTTGCACTAACTTGCAGACGCGTTTATTGCGCAGACGTGAGACCGCGGCGTCGCGGCTCGCGCATGCGTGCTGTAGTGTAACCCGCCGCGTCGCGTCGCGTCAAGTCCACAGCTTGATTTTAGAATGCATATCGCACGCCTAATATTAGTTTTTATTTACCATAAAAAAGACGTTTAAAATAATCTTTCTTATTCTATATTTTTAATGTTTATATTTTATTATTTTATCTATGTGTGTGTGATGAATAAAAACTAAAAAACTTAAAAATCGCCATATTTTATTCTACGGATACTTATATTATTTTGAGGCATAGAATTACCACTATAACAAATTTCATTAAAATCCGTTTGGTATTATATACATCCTCACAAACTTGCACATCTATATCACGGTAGGATTACCTCAAAGCAAGTTGTCCCTATGAAATGATATAAAAAAAATCAACGCTATAGCGTTGGTACAAAAATGAATTCACTTTGGTGCGAGAGTCTGAACCGCGATCACTCTTGACTCAGTGATACAATAACTATCTATTTTCCACAACGCTTTAAAGTAAAGCTGAATTTACTCTTAGGTAAATCCCTTAAGGCTCAGACCAAATAAAAAGTATAGACGGAGTTTTGCCTAACAGAAAAGTGAAGCTGACAAAACTACGCCTCGGCGTATTCGTACACACTTTCACGCACACACTCATAACGAAACTACGCCTTCCTTATCAGTCTTACTATCGACAGTGTGCGGAACGTTTCGTTATAAAAAAAAACCAAAAATTTTTTACTAAATGCTGAATTGTGTAATGAAAGGTTGTAAAAACCAACCCTCAAAAATTAAAAGCAGGATGGAATCACATTTCACACGTAAGTATTGGAGAAAACTTACATTTTCAGTGATTTAAAAATAAAATTTAAGTTATTGCTTGGAACACAAAACCTCAGCCAAATATTACCATCATTAAACGTTATTATTTACCCCGAAATCAGGTAACTTTAATTTGTTACCAAAAAGGAAGTACGACGAGATGGGCACGCGTTTTTATAAACCAATTATTGAATCCAAAAGCAAACCAGGGTTTAAAAGCACATTAATAAATATACAGTCTGAAAGTGCTATACATGAAATATATGAGTCTGAAAAAAGGCTAATATTCTTACCGACTTATAAACTAACAATAAGTCATGATCATCTGGTAATATTATTTACATCAATCAGAATGCACGGAGCCTTTAATGATAATCCAAATGTAAAACAATTTAAAGGAAGTTACAATAAGATACTGTCACATTTAGAATTAAAGAGTCTTTCGAAAGGTAATTGCGTGCCGTTAGAAAATAAAGCAATTATTAATTGTACTTCAACGATTCAAAATATAAACAGTACTTCGCGGTCTTACAGATATGAAGAAGAAGAATGCTATCATACGTCTTCATTGCAACTTCTTCGAGACGTTGTCAATGAATCAGTAGATTTATAGCCAGTTGCACAAACGTCCGTTAGAATAGTCGTTCATTTAAAGCGACATTACCCATACAAATTTGACATATATTACCGCTTAAAGGCGTCATAAACCTTAATCGACGTTTATGCAACTGACCGTTTGCCAATTATTTAAACGATTATATTATGACGATTATAGATAATAATCGGTTACATATCAGGGAGTATGATACGATATTTAAATAAAATGTTCCGAATGTTTGGAAAGTTTACAAACTAAAGAGAAACTCTATTTTCACAGGCTTATTGATTTGAAAACAAGGGAGGCCTTCGTTTCCCGTCAAAAGATCTTTTTGATATTTGTGTCCTTTGTGAATCGATTATTCGGGAATTATTAGTTAAAAAAAAAATGTTACTACCGCAGAAAATCCACACAAAACTATTGTCATGAATATATTAAAACGCTTTATAGGAAAAAATACAGTTTTTGTTAATTTAGAGAAACAACACGAATATTTTGGTCATGAACATAAAATTCATTCAATACGCTGCGTAAATGATAAATATTTAAGCATACGGTTTCATCATATTGCTAAGTTGGAAACTATTACAAAAACAATAAAAGACAATCCTACAAGAAATTGATCCAATAAAAAGGTTTTTAATAAGTTATTCACTAGACAAATAATATAAGCTTTCGTGGATAATTCAATATAGGTACACTTGACATGGCCATATCGTTCGAATAAATGACCGAGTTATTAAGTGTTTCTAAAAATCCTTAAAAATGAGAAAAACAAGTCATGTGCAGTGATAAAGTACCTGTACTTGAAAAAAGTCGTTTCTGACCCGTGGAACACCAAAGTGGTTCACCTAGGTGTTCCACTGTTAATTTTGTTTACCCCTGGTTCACCTAGGTATAAATTTTCTGTGGATACTCTTTTCGTTGATCTACTTCTACGGCTAACTTTTTGCACCTCTAAATATTAAAATCTATTGGATTATTTCTACACAGCCACAAATGCCGTTTAAAATTTTCTTCGGGTGTAGGAAAATGATGGGAATCGAGACCGCTGACAATCCTTTTGTTCTCTACTCATGTACTGGCCAATTTTTTTTATTTTAAAAATGATATAATGAAAACATTAAGTATATTTAGACAGCATCACTGTACCAATAATGTTACCGAAGGCTTCAATGCCAAATGAAACCGAGCGCTAAACAAAAACACAGTGACATTATTAAGACTTTTAATTTTTTTTAGAAAAAAATTGTATCAGTTGCACCTGCTGATAAAAATTCCTATTAAAAAAGTAAAATAATTCTCGAAAATGATAACTATATTCTCTACATACAAATGCAATTAGTTAAAAAGGAAATCACTATAGTGAGTGTATTAGGAAAGCTACGTAATTAGGCGATTTTTTTTTATGCGAACCAAGCACAATGTACGCACAATGCACAAGCACAATGTCAAATGACACAATATCTATTAATTAAAAATAGAATATTCACCCCTGGAGTAAAGTCTGTTTTCTGTCTATTAAGTTGTTACATTACCAAAACAGATTTCTTTCTTGTTTTGTCCTGAAAATCTTTAATTTTATCAATTTTAACATTAAGTTTTTCAATTATTTAGGATGACTTGTGTTTCATTAGATAGGTGAACTACGGGTACATTATTTTGAATGGCAGAACACCTAGGTGAACCAGGGGTACAAAAAGTTAACATTGCAACACCTAGGTGAACCACTTTGGTGTTCCACGAGTCAGAAACGAAAAAAGTATACACTAAAGAATTTTTTTGGATCTCATCATTTGGATATCAACTTCATCATCGTTTACTGGGTTGCTGAATTTAAAACATTAAGATCGAACTGTGAAGAATAATCCATTTTAAGTGATTGGATAAGAGACATTCCATTGTAAAATAACTTCTGAAGCATGAAATAAAGTAGAAGAAATAAGCCGCCCTGCCTTTTTTTACTTGTAAATGGTTTTGAATTTATAAATAAACAAAGTTAATATTCGGTAGTGTTATTCTAGATACACCTTTTCTATTTCAATATGCTGATATTGACAAACGAATTTACATTATATTATTAAATAGCATAGCATTAACGTTAACTCTATAACGTCGTAACGTTAAGTTATTGGGGTGTTTTTATTGACTATGGTCACACTGGCACGCACACTACAATTGCTAAAAACGGCTTCACTTTGTTGTTTAGCGGACTCCGTCTTTACTTTTTATTTGGTCTGAGCCTTAAGGTTGATGTTTGGGCGACTCGCTTTACAATAACCGCGATCACCATGAAGCGGCGATCACAGATCGCAGCGATACGTAGACATCTTTATAGATTAACGCTTTACATTGACGGTCATGTAGTGCAATTTTAATAACCGTATAGAATGTAACGCGTAATGTAGAGCGTTTAAATAATGTGGATAGCAAACAATCCAATCTGTCATGTGCGAATGAAACAAAAACAGGATGTCAGTATACGTGTGAATGAAAAAGGTATATGCTAGTATGCTCCCGTTATTCGGCTTTCGGAGTGATCAAGTAACCAACCCAAAATTGAGCTTTATCGCGTTAGCATAAGAGTAAAATTCGGTTGGACTTTAGCGTTGTAGAAATAACTAGTCATCAAAAATAGACAGTTCTGATATCGGTTATTGGCGATCTGATAGCGTTTGCGTTACGTGATTTGAAAAATGGATAACGACCCATCGCTAAGTAGTAATAGTAGTTTCGTCCATGAGGTAGGCGAAGAATTTGAGACATACTGCCAAATCTTTATGTTATCATAGATAATATTTATGTTGTTTGTTTACTCTTTGTTGTTATCTTTTAATTACTAATATGTATATGTGTTAAAAAAAAATAGAATTCTACTTTGCAACTGTCCATTTTGTGTTTAGTTCGTACGTGGTGTCACTGCTGGCCGCAACAGAATATCAGTGCAGTGGGCTCTGCTTACTGCTTGTACTGAGCTGAGGTCAGCTTTGACAACGCACACCATGGCACAGACTATTGCATTGTTTTTTTTTCTGCTATTTTTGTTTTTTTTTTTGTATTTTATATTTTTATTTTTTACAAGTTGTATATTGTGTACGTGATGTGTGTTGTCAAAATAAATGATTTGTATTCTTCTATTCTATTCTATATAATGCATGCAGTTCGATGCCCATACAAATTTGATCTAAATTCCTAGTAATCAATAATTGTCTTAAATTACAAATTTCTTTGTTTTGTATATAAATTCTATTTGTATTATCTTAAACAATGTAATCAGATAACCGCGCTCAGTCTTTTTTATTGTTTTATCTATTATGTACCCAACATTCAAAATATTTTTTTTTTGTTTCATTGCGTGTAAAGACTACATACGTGACATTGGCGGAATTGTGTAAACGCAAATGGCCTATTTGAATTAAAAAAGAAGAAGAAGCAAACGTTGGACGGTTTGTCTGTACGTACGCCCTTTCACATTGACGCTCATTTCGGTTGCATCATAAATTTTATCGAATTATCAATTGTTTTTTTGTTTTTTTTTTTTTTTTTTTTGTGAATTAGATTAGTCCTTCAGTTATTTGTACGAGTAAGTACAGTTGATTGCTTGCAAAATACTAGAAACTTTGACGTTCCAACAATAGGGTTGACGACAAATTTTTATTTGTTTGTCCGTCCGGTAAATTATTGAAGAATATTAATCAAGTACTTTTTTTTTTTGCGTAATCTATATAAATTACGGCGATGTATTGAGTTGTTGAAATGTCGTATGAGGTCACACTTTTGTACATTTTATACAAAACTATGACGTAGCGATCCCCCCACCCCTCAACTTAATGCCTATTTTCTAAGCCATTTCTTGTTAAATTGAAGCAAAAGAATATGTATCTAATATTCTTCTATTATCTGACTGGCGGACTAAATAGATATTTTTTTTTACCCAGTCGTTTTCCCTTTGCGGAAGTATTTAAAAAAAAGAAAGCATCTCCACTTGATGGCGATTTTAGAAAAAGTTGTTTTTTGCTGGAAACGAATGGACCAAAGGCAGTCATTTCCGTTCCTTTTAACTAACATATTTAAAAACTGAAATTTGCAAAGTTCGAAAATTAGATATCAATATAAATACGAAAAAGTACAAATAGAATATGAATTGTTTATTGAGTTTTGAAAACTAATTTACTTGTACACATGAAAGAAAAGAAAGGGTTGTCATGGAGAAATCAAAAAAGTACCGTAGCGACATCTGGTTTTATTTCGGGAACTAACTTTTTTTTTAATACTTCCTCATTGAAATCTCCATCGTGTTTGAATATTTTGAACATTTTCCCTAATGATTATGCTGCAGGGTATGCAGCAAATGCATATGCGTCTAGAGATCCAACAAATATGGCGCATGATAAATCATTGTTTACCTACATTAGACCTTCTAATGCCGAAACAGATATGTGCGAATGGCCGTCGATAAATATGCATTGACCCTTAACCTCCGGATCGTATTTCAAGTAATTCGATTTAACATCTGTAAAATTACCTGTAATCTTTCAAATGGTCCTTCCTCCTGTGTATCGTCAAGGTCCTTCTCGTCTCACAGATCTTATCACACATATTACACGGAAAACTCAACGGTTCTTCACCGTGCACTTCAACAAGATGCTTCAACTTCTGCGGATAAGACATCAGTTTAATATCGCATTTGGGACAATATACCCTGCCCCGTTTCATATGAACACGGTCTATATGCAAATCTCTGTTGTACTGGGCTTTGAATATCTTTCCGCATGTCTCACAGGGGAAGTCCCCTTCTTCATGCCGTTGCTGATGCATCACAAATCTACCTTTATCCACAAACCCTAACCCACAAGTCTCACACACATAATTACTAAAATGTTCATTCATATGTTTATTTAAAGCGTGAAAATAAGGGAACATAACATCACAGATAGCACATTTCAATTCTTCCTTAGTCAATTTGAACGGTAACACCGAATCTTTGAAATCAAAATAATACTTCTTGCCATGCATCGTGGATATATGGCGTTTGAATTCATCTAACTTATCGATTTTCGCGTTGCACAATCGACAATCGATTCTTGTCAAATCTATTTTTATCATGTTCTTGTGTTCGGTGACTTTGAACTTTTTCGGATTGTGCATCTTTTCAGTATGATCTCGCAGTTGTGTTGGATCAGCAAAGTTCTGCCCGCAGTAGTAACATAAGAGATGATTGTGTCTACATTTAAAAGGGCATACGTATGAGAATTCTACTATTGTTAGTATGTTCGTCTCTGTCATGTACGTGGGGTCTCTTTCTCGGATCAGCTGTTGCACTTTCGACATAGGCAATTCTGGAATGGACAACAGAAATGTAATAAACACTTACCGATATAAGTCTAAGTGCGTAAGCACGAGGTTAGTTGTAAAAAGCTTATTGTAGGACTTTTGATAATTAATGAAAGTTTACTTCTAACCAAAAATATACTGTTGTAAGAGCAACTGCTATATTATTTTTTAACTTCCGTTCTAAAACTACGGTCGCCGAACATAAAGAATTTCGTACAATGACCCGGCAATACATATCTACTTCACTCGTGTGCAAACACATTGCTGTTGCGCTCGTACAAATAAAATTACGGCGTTACATGGAGTTGAGATTTCGAATGACGTCACGTTATGGTACGTTTTCTACTCAACTATAACGTAGCGAGCCCCCACTCCGCAACTTTAATGCCCGTTATCTAAGCTATTTCTTGTTAAATTGAAGTAAAAAAAAATACGTATCTAATATTTTTCTATTATCTGACTGACGGACTAAATAGAATTGCATTTTTTTTACCCAGTCATCATCCCTATTATGTCATAAAAAAGTGATACTGTTCGGGGACCGTGCTAAAGCTAGAAGGGAGTTGTAAAATTTATATTGTTAGTTTTAAATAGTCATACTAATTAATCAACAAAGTGATTCATTTAAATCAACATATTCTTTAATTTATCTCTCAAATATGTAAGTATCCACCATTTACAAATAAAACAGACTTATAAATGTCGCGACAGTACAATAAAAACTTTTCTTCAAAGCATTGTTATGTTAAAACTCTTTGATCAAACTTTATTTTGGTCTTAGTTCTCAATGGTTGATCGGTCTTTGAATGTTCAACATTGTGCGAAAAAAATTGTATGAAAAACAGCCTAAAAGATAATTATACTCAATGCCAAAGTTGTCATGCCAGCTAAAGTATATCAGGAATAAGAACTATTAACGAGAAAAAAAGAATGGATCTCTAATCCTTAAAGTACTTACGTGGTTTCTTCATTACAACAACTTTCTGCCTGAGGACGGGCGAGGGTGGTGGTATATCACGCCGTTTCACCTTCACCACTCTTGGTTTGAAGCGACGCATCAGTGGAAGATCGTCTTCATCATTTGGGTTCGTTTCCGATTTCACATCATCATCTGAAATGTACCCACTTTATTGGTTAAAAATTAACATCGGAAAAGAGTCTGGCATATAAAAATCAGAAACATATTTCTCTGTCCTTACACAATTTCTTCCAAAATAAACTTTAACGTGATCGAATGTGGGATCAAGCGCAAATCTACTAATTTCTGGAAAACCTGTACACGGCAATGGGGACATCAATAGGCTGACGAATGATAAAGACCAAATGTATCTTGTTTCCAGATCATCAGCAGTCTATTTATATCCCCGCTGCTGTAGCCCATCGCATCAAATCGAATATGGCGAATGGCCTATGACTGCAGTGCTGATGATTGCAGATACAATCGGGACCTATGGCTTAACATGCCTTCCGAAGCACGGAGAACTCGAGATAACACATTGTTGGTCATCTTTGAGCGGTACCTGCCACAATTGCTAACTTCCACGAAAAAAATGGGTAACTTATGAATATTAGCGTTTCTTTTTTTTATACTTTATAGGTTAACGCTTGACTACGATCCCACCTGATGGTAAGTGGTGATGAAGCTTTGGGTAGTATAGCGCATTAACCTAGAAACAGCCTATTCAATCTTGATTTGAAGACACACTTTATAATCGGACGGATATACAGACGCTGGCATTATTCCAGTCTATCCAGTCCAGTACGTATTAAGAATGAGGAATCGAATCGCGCCATTCTTACCGGAGGGATGTTATCAACGAAAGGATGAATACCGGCCGTCCGTCGAGACGTTCGATGGTAGAACGGGGAGAATGGGAAGAATTAGGTCAGGTATCGAGACTAAATTTCGTTTTGTGGAACAACAGAGTTGGTTCTGTTTTCAGATCTAAATAAAAGTAGGAACTTACTAATAAAAAGAAAGAAACCTACTATCTTCCACGGTATCTGCTAGTGCATCACCACACACGGAGCCGGCATCACTTATCTTATCCTCTGGCTCAGTCTTGACAACTTCGATTTCTACTTTAGGCGCTCCATCTACTAAAGCTTCTTCCATTCTGCTGATGCATCCTGAAAATAAAATCAAGTTTTTACACGACTGCCCACAAAAAGAAGTATATGAACATATGTGTTTCTTTATTCCACCATAAACTTTGAAAGACAAAACGGATATGAAGAGATTTATTATGAGAAAGGTTACATAATCGCGAGTGACACTGGCTAAATATCGAGGGGTCATGGCCTATTTATATTAAGCGACATCCTGGGCGAAAATGAGTTATGAAACCTTTACTCGATGTCGCTTAAAACATTTAACCTGCAACTGAGACCCGTATCCAATGTCGCTTATACAATTTATCCTGCATCTGACTTGAATACACACAGGCGTTTAAAATATTTTGATCTTTAATCCAAATATTTTTTATTGGTTGGTTAAATATTTATCATGAAATTTTTTTTAAAAGAATTTGTTGGTTTTTACATACGGGTATTAAAACTATAAGAGGTGGAAGTTAAAACAATTTTCCTGTAATGACATTAGAAAAGCTATGATCTTTAAATCATTAAATATTTCAAATGAATCGTTTTGTCTTGTCAGTTGAGTTAACAATTTTAAGAAAAGTTTGAAAAGTAGTGACAATGTTAAAGGTAAAGTTAAATAAAAGAATTACAAATAAAATTACTGTTCTGTGTGTTAATATATAAATGTCTATGGTATTAGATTAATCCTTTGTTTATGGCACTTTTCTGGCATTCGTGTTAGAGATTTGGAATAAAGTCGTGTGAATTTATTCTTTAAAATGTTAAGTAAAATTAATTAATAAAATAAAGTTATATCAAACTTATTATTATTTTATTAAGAATTACGAAAAAGAAAGCGATAATTATGAATTTTTATTCGAAAATTCCATCGTCTCACGAATGCAGCTGCAATTCGAGGACATAAAGGTAAATTCGAATTTTGTAATAACAACCAAATTACACTGACTGGGTATTAAAATTATTATAAAAGACTAGCGGCCCGCCCCGCTTTGCATGGGTGCAATGCTGGTCAGTGGCGTAACTACGCCAATGCGGTTGCTTGGGGCCCCATAATTCAAGGGAGCCCTAACAGACCTCAAATGACATATTATAATTTCGAGACTTCTTCCCAGACGAGTCAGTACAGAGGAAGGAAAAAGACATGTCGTAACTGTTCATGTAAACCAGATTCTACGCTACATTTGAAACATAAAGATGGCACATTCTGTACTGCTACGACAAGAAATCTTGAATTTTTTTATCAATGGATGACAAAGCACGCATGCCATTAGATATTACAGCAGCAAACGCTCAAGCACCAATATTAATACACTTTAATTATCGTGTAAAATAACCAGATCATAATTTCGTTGTCGCGGTAAACATAAACTTATTCCCTTTGCAGGTATTTAAAAAAAAGGATGGTGCAGGGAAACCTGAAGCTGTGACACCCTCTGGGCTAACATACATGGCAATTCGTAGTGGAAAGCATTCTTCTTCTAATGCAGACACTTGCTTTCGAAAAGTTTATTTAGTTTAGTTTAGTTTATAAAACTCGAGAAGGTTTTGTAAAACCCGTATTTATTTTTACTTGTGATGGTGGTCCCGACGAAAATACACGATACGAGCAAGTTATAGTTTCAGCTTACAACATTTTAAAGATTTTGGCTTGGATGCTAATTACATTGCCACAAATGCTTCAGGAAGAAGTGCTTTCATCAGAGTGAAACGACGAGCGGCGCCTCTTAGTCGCGAATTTACTAGTGTTGTTTTAAAATATGACATTTTTGGTTCACATCTCGATTCTAGTAATCGAAACTTTGAGAGTGCAGGCATTGTGCTGGCTAATATTTGGAGGCAATTGGTCATTGATTATTATTTTGTGGTTGCTGAATACATTGGACCAAACAGATACTGAATAATAAACAGGCTAAGGAACTGAAAAATGATGCGCTTGGTACGCCAATCATGTGCGTGAATCACAATATTTATTACAAATAGTAAAATGCGAGGTTGTCTCATGTTGTGGTTTGTGACGATCTAGCCTTTGGCGACTATTACGAGAGGGGTTTTTACCACCACCTGTTTTAATTCAAGCGTCAAGCGGTTATGTAACCATAAAAAAGATAACTCCGAAGGTAAATTCGCTCCACTGTTATGATCTTCGAGCGTCATCACATTTGAAGCAAGTTCCGTATGATAGCTATTGCCCCAGTGTCGAGGCGTACTTGTTTAAGCGATCATGTGGCACCTGTGGTCTATATTTTGCATCATACAAGGCCACTAATCAACACAAGCAGTTACAAAAGAAACAAGAAATTTTTCCCATCGCGAAGATTCGACCTTAACCAATTGCTGCTAGACGTGCCAGAGAAATTCTTTGTTTGGATAATGGCGATAACGTCGTATGGTATGATGAAAAAGATGTTTACACATCGAATCTTCCTGATATTAACAACCGCAAGAATGAAGTGGTTGCTATGCCAGTTATAAATATATCATAAATAATTTAAAGGAGTGGGTTCAAAGGCAAGATGGTTAAGTTTGTTCTTTAATTTTTTTTTATTTTGTTAATTCGTTTAAATGTTTGCTTAGATGTTAATTTTATAAAAAATAATTTAAATTGAAAAAAAAATACAGAATTGATGTTTTAATTAAATAATTATATCTGTATGTAAAAATGTACGAGTAAAATATGTGACGTAACACTAGGGAGGGGTGATCTCACAAACAAGAATGCCCCCCCTCCATTCTTGTCAAGGATCAAGTCCAAAAATAATGAAATTTGTTTGACGTAATTTATGGATTATAAAATATAACCTATGACACTACAATGGTAGGTACAACCAGGTATATGTTTACCTACACGTAGGTACATGAATCTTGTATTAAATATATGTTTATAATTCAATAAAAAATTAACTTTACTAGGGACTAACAACACAATAAACCAAAGTTGGTTATAAAGCATCTTAATCACTGTTAATTATAATATTATCTTTATTGAACACATCCAGACAGGAAAACAGAACGAAATTACAAGATAAAACAATACAAAGTACACAAAAGGCGGTCTTATTGCTAAACAGCGATTTCTTCCAGGCAACCTATGGAGGAGAATAATAAAAGGAAAGGGAAAATATGGGGTATTGCGTGCAATGGTCAGAAGGATATGATAACATATGGCCATTTCTCCACTAAATGGAAAATCACTGTCCTAAATAAATTTTGTGTAATAAATCTTATTATATCTCAGTTTTTTGCTTTTATAATGACATAGTTTTAGACATTCTTGGCACGCCACATCTTTTTTAGCAGTTTAATCATTTTATATTTGAATAAACTTTATTCAAACACCTCAAAACACAGTCCCCTGGTATGTCCCTTTTCCAATATTACTAATCTTGTTACCAATATTTATTTTTTTGCCATTGATAACTCAATAAAAAATACCCAAATACACAAAAGAAAACAGTAAGGATCTTTATACATCAGAATTCTATTTTTACAATAAAAAATAATCAAAATACCCATTTGTGAATGCTGTTTCACTGTTTAAATGTGAAAACCGCGCTGAAGTCAAGCAATTTGTTATTGGCGCGAATATTCAGACAGTGAAACGGAACGCAATTGGCATGAAGTTCGTTCGGTTGTGGAGCCAAGCGATCAGCCGCCATTTTCTTTAGTGCTACGTTGGCGTCTTTGGGTGAACCACGCTGCTCGGTTATTAGTGCGAACAGTCCACTGGTAAGATTTTTTTTTACTATTTTAAGAGTTCTAATAATGATAATTTGCTTAAAATATTTAACTAACTAATATGTAGCTACATCTGTTTCGTTTATTTGATATCATAAACTGAATTTGTTTCATAAAGGTTTTATGTGAAAAAGACAGTCCCTGTCATTTCATAGCACAGGGGACTGTTCCTATCACAGGGGACTGTTTTCTAAGGCGCGGGCCAGGCAGAAAAGGCGCAATGTGTGGCGCGCTCTCGTCTGTTTAATCCGCGTTTTAGGTTTATAGAGTCTGAGATGTCGGACAACGCATTTGTGACAATAGGTAAATATTAACAGTATTGTCTCTTTCGTAGGTAGTATCTCGAAATGCCACCGAAAAAGAAACTATCTAAAACAAGAGAAGAAATACTAGAACAAAAGCGTATAGCTGAACATTTGAGATATCAACGACTCAAAAATGACCCTCAAAAAAATTTTTTTTTGAAAATGATGATAATAGTCGAATTGGTGCAGGAAAACGGGAATGTGTGACCAGAAACGGAGTCAAAAAACATAAGTAAGTAAGTAAGTAAGTAAGTAAGTAAATATTTTTATTGACCTTCACATTACACTTTACAATTATAAACAAAAAATAAAATGAATAATAAAAAGTGATACAGAATATAGAAGACAGAAATACACATAATTCAATCCATCATGCACATGTGATGTGGTCAACCAGGACACTACCTCAGCTTGTGCTGTTGCAGTGAGAATCAGCTCACGCAACAGCGCTGATATTCTGGCAGAGCCTGTGGGTAGTGACATTTGATATAATTTTAAACAATAAAAATAATGTATGTGCTTATAATACTAAGTGTCCGTTACATTCCTGAACGCGAATAACGAGTTGTCAGTATACAACACTTCACCCCGCGACCCAACCATCTGACAGAAAGTTTCGCCTTATTAGTCTGTGACCTAGAAAGTTTCGCCTTATTAGTCTGTGACCTTGAAAGTTCCACCATATATTGACGTAAGCAAGCCAACGAGTAAAAAAAAAAAAAATGAGAAATCCTACGTGATCAAGTTTACCCGATACACGTGACAATGCATTGCCACGTATACAAAGATGGAATAAAAAAAAGAGCTATATTGGACGTCCCAAACTCACCGCCAGTTCTTATAAACAAGAAATGAACGTCATTGAATCTAATCGGCGCCGGCGTTTCTCCTACCCCTCCATAGCGCGTCGCGACTACCGAAATGTAAGTGCTTTTCTATTTATTTATCGATAACTGAAGTAGTAATAAGTGTTGTTTTAGATGTTTTTTAAACACACCTATTGTTTTAAGGTCACGCAATGGAGGAGGAAGGTCGTTCCAGCACCGTGAGGCAGCGAACTTGAAAGATCCACGGAATGCTCTAGTGTGATGCCTCGGCGTCAAGAAAATAATTTTGCAGGTTCTCATAGGATACCTATTGCAATCCCGAGCCCACGTGAGTTTATTGTACAAATAATCTGGTTTTTCTGATTTAATGACGCCAAAAAGCATAACAGCGAGGTGGAGTTTTCTGCGGGCCTCCATTTTTAATAAGTTGGCGTTATTAAGAAACGGTGTTACATGAGATCGAGGAGGCACACAGAAACAGAAGCGTGTACATGCATTCTGGACACGCTGTATGAGCTTGGCCGTCCTTGCCAGAAGACACGGACCATAAACAGTATCGCAATAGTTGAACTTAGATAGAATAAGAGATTCACATAAAGTAATTCGAAGTTGCTCACTTAGATAGGGTCGTATTTTGTAAAGGAGTTTGAGACGATAGAAACAACTGCGCACACAATTGGTGATATGGCTTTCAAAATTAAGTTGGCTATCCAGAGTCAACCCCAGATTCCTAGCACTATTAACCTGGACTATGAGTTCATTATTTAATTGTATATTTAAGGGTCTGCTATCTAATCTCTGCAATTTCTTTTTTGATCCCAACAACATCAACTTAGATTTTTTTGGATTGATCACTAAACAGTTTGACTCACACCAAGCACTTATTTTAGATAGGTCACTATTGACTTTAGCAACAGCTTCTTCGTAGTTTTCAGGCCTGAATGAGATATATAATTGTAGGTCGTCAGCGTAGAGATGGTATTTGCAGTGCTGGATATTATAAGTCAGGTCTGCGCTGTATAATATGTAGAGGATCGGACCGAGTATCGAACCCTGCGGAACTCCACAAGCAACGGGCAGCGGTGAGGAATAAGACTTGGTGCCGTTTATATTCTCAAGTACTACATACTGCTGTCTTTGCATTAAGTAACTTGCGAACCATTTTACAGCAGGTGTGTCCACACCATAATAGGAGAGTTTGGATAGCAGCAAAGATGTATTTAGAGTATCAAATGCACGTGAGAAGTCCAGGAATATGAGGATACTGACCAGGCCTTGGTCCTGAGCTGAGAGGATATTATCCATCACATCGGCCAGTGCAGTAGCTGCACCATGACCCTTGCGAAACCCCGACTGGAAACTTGGAAGGATCCTGTTATCCTCCAGGTACTGTGTTAGTTGGTCAGAAACCACCCTTTCCAGAACCTTAGAGAGACAGGGAAGGAGACTAATAGGTCGCAG